ATTTAATAAACTACTATCATGTATCAAAAAGGAATAATATGGTCCAGATTGCGAAAATGAAATGAGATTATGAAAATCAGATTTTAAATTTTAAATTTTAAGGAATAAATGAATACTTAAATCAATCTTCACACACTGACAAATGATACTCTATGGAATGTATGATGGAGAGACTTGTTATGTACTCCTTAAATAGCTCTTTCGCAACAGAGATAATTTTCACTGTGTGTTGTTATAAACAATATTAATAATATATATTAATAATATAATAATATATTTATTTGACACTGCCCTGCCCCTTAATTTGCATAATCGAATCACAACATTGCGTAATAGAATAATCTTTCATATTTACATTGGCTTTAATGAACTTGATACAATGTAAAAATGAATATTTCAAGAGTGAATGAAAATCTTATGCTTGTGTAGAAATTATGTCAAGTAATTCAATATATCATGCATATATTTTAATTTAATGAGAAAGTAGGATTATAAATTGACATATTGTAACATGTAAATTGCAAATTGTAGTCACAACATCTATCTCTAGTGTGTTTGATATTTTTATACACTATCACACTGGCATCCAAACAGAAATGTGTATTCGCTGGTGAATATCGTGCCATATTAACCAGACATCGTGGAACTCCGGAAAAAAAGTTCCATCTGCACTTGTGCAGTTTGATTGTTTGGTCACTGTAAACAAGGATACATCAATTTGACTTCTACAGAGTATTACCTTGCTAGGACTGTTGATTCTCAGATTTCATTCACTCAGTTGGTGAATAACATCTATGGTAAATACTATATGCTCCGATTCTTTCAGTTTATGACAATTTTGTGCCAAATCGATAAATCGTACTTTTAATGCAACTTAGCCAGAATATCTTCGAAATATTACAATTATTTTGTTGGTAAATCTTCATGCCAAACACTGACTGGGTTAATATTTATTCACGCGAGTTGATTACCTGTTATGTATGTTTTAGGGTTGATACAATGTGGTGTAACAAGATGATATTTATATGTTACTTTATTTTCTTGATTGTAAGGTTATTATTACATGGAATAGATGTGTTAGTGAATCAGATAATATATATTGAGAATGGCTACGAAATCACCACGATCCATGTGTTTATGCCACATAGTTACAGGCTGTAAAAGTAAACCAAGAGCATTTAGTGAGAAATCATGGGCTACCCTAAGACAAGCTGCTCAAGTAGGACAGGGTCACATTTACTCTAAATATGCATCATTGCTTGAGAAATCCACTCCAGTTGGTACATATCACCCAGAGTGTTATGCAAGATACACAAACAAAGACCATTTGAGTAGGTTGAGAAATCCAAGGAAGCGCACATATCAGCAAATGGAACAGTCTCAAGATGATACACCACCAAAAATGCTCAGACGTTCTCAATCAGGTGTAGGTATCAAGAGGAAAGAAGAAATTTGCGTTATATGTAGAAAGAAAGACAAGTGGAAACCAGACCACAAGAACAGAGAAAAATTGTTAATCTGTGAACATGACCATGTTGAGAAAAATATCAAAGAAGCAGCCAAGATTAGAAATGATAGTAGAGTGACGCTAGATATTCAAGGCAAAGATTTAAAAGCTATTGAAATCATGTATCACAAGTTCTGTTATGCCAACTACACAAACAAGACCCAGCTGGACATAGTTGAGAAGAAACGAGGTGAACAAAGTGATCAAGTCTGATCAAGTACACAATGAGGCATTTAGATATGTGTCAAGTATAATTGACAAAAACGTCCTGCAGCAAAAAGAAACAATAAACATGTCATATCTACGGGATAAATGCATTAAATGTCTAGAAAATGAAAACCTTGATCATTCCACCCTTCAAATGCATAAGCTGAAAGAGAAGATAGTGAAACATTACTGTACTAGAGTTGGATTTGTTTTAAATTATGTTCTCTAAAACCTCCAGGCATCAGCAAGTAGAATTAGGATCAAGAACCAGAAATGATTACTAGAATGGAGAATGTGGTTCTACAATATCATTTGTCAGCTGGAAAGGTTGGACCAGCACCTATTTTAGGAGAGATTGCGTACTTCATAGAGACATCATCATCACCACATTTCAAACATCCAGGCATGACAGACTTACTATGGATGATGCTACGACAACAACCAACAGAAAATCTATTCAAAGTAGACAAAAGAGCAACTCACGTTATCCCAGGTATGTCTTTTTTCTACACTATAAATTTTATTTTATTGGGTAACATA